TATGTGGCTGTGTCACTGACTCTGTGCCCAGGAGTCCCCAGGTTTTGCCATACTGCTGGCCAACCAGGTCTTACCTGGGTTTGCAGGAGTCTATTGAACATGGTGCTCTGGTAGCGTAGTGGTTACGAATTGGGCTGCGAACCTTAAGGTCAGCGGTTCGAAACTACCAGCCGCTCCGCAGGAGAAAGATGAGGCTTTCTACTCCCGGAAACCCACTCGATGGCACTTAACAACAACAACAACATTGAACATGGTAGGACTTAGCTTGCAGTTTCATTGCTTCCTCACTTCCCTTATCAGAGCATAAGTCTGCTCAGTCAGAGCACGTGTCTGCTCGTGTATTCCCATTAAGTCTTAGTCTTGGAAGGGAGTTTGCCCTGAGGGGACCCGACTGCTTGTCTTGATGTCTTCTGGGAGAGCAACTTGCTTTTTCTTGTAGTTGTCATTCGGACTGCTGTTACTGTTTCGTGAGATTTTAAAGTCTTCTAAGTTGGTCCTGCTTTTCTTCAGTCTCCACTTTTTTTCCTGGCTTGCTTTGCTTTTGTGGTTTGAGGATAGTGTAGTTTGCAGACATTATATCTTGATCTGGCAGGAAGGGAATATAGAATACCCTCAGTAGTTTTAAAGATCTGATCTTGACTTCAGTTCAAAATTTTCCTAGTGAAGTGAAAAAAACTTGGTCCTGGATTTTCTGTGCACAGTACCAAAATGGGGTTCTGAACACTTTAAAGAGGGTTTTGTGCAGCAGATTTGTCTAATGCAATATGTTGTTTGATTTCTAGACTGCTGCTTCTATGAGTGTTGATGGTGGTTCCAAGCAAAATGAAGTCTTTGACAACTTCGATCTTGTTTCCACTTACCATGATGTTGTTTATTGGTCTAGTTGTGAGGATTTTTGTTTTCTTTACATTGAGGGGCAATCCATACTGAAGGATGTGGTCTTTGGTCTTTATCAGTAAGTATTTTAGGTTCTCTTAGCTTTCATTAACAAGCAAGGTTACATCATCTGCACATCTGTAGGTTGTTAATGAGTCCTCTTCCAATCTCAGTGCCACATTCTTCTTCATATAATCCAATTTCTCAGATTATCTGCTTAGCATACAGATTGAGTAAAGTACAGTGAAAGCATATAGCCTTGGCATGTCCTTTTCTTGATTCATTCAATGTCCCCTTGTATTGCTTGAATGACTGCCTCTTGGTCTATGTACAGGATACTCATGAGCACAATGAAGTATTCTGGAGTACCCATTCTTTGAAATGTTATCCATAGTTTATCATGATCCACACAGTCAAAAGCCTTTGCATAGTCAATAAAGTGCAGGTAAACATCTTTCGGGTATTCTCTGCTTTCAGCCATGATCCATCTGACATCAGCAATGATAATCTCTTGTTTCACATCCTTTTCTGAATTTCTGGCAGTTCCTTGTTGATGATGCAGCTGTTTTTAAATTCTCTTTAGCAACATTTTACTTTTATTAATGATATTGTGGTATTAGTGGTACTAATGCTATTGTTAGATGATTTCCACATTCTGTTGGATCACTTCTCTTTGAAATGGGCACAATATAGATCTCTTCCAATTGGTTGGCCAAGTAGCTGTCTTCCAAATTCATTGGCGTAGGTCAGTGGTTGCCTCCAGTGCTATATCAGTTTGTTGAAACATCTCAATTTGTAATGCATCAGTTCCTGGAGACTTGTTTTTCACCAACACCTTCAGTGCAGCTTGGACTTCTTCCTTCACTACCATTGGTTCTGTACCACCTGTTGAAATGGTTGAACAGAGACTTTTTTTTTTTTTGATACAGTAACTCTGTATTCCTTCCACTTTCTTTGATGTTTTTCACATAATTCAACATTTTGCTCATGGAATTCTTCAATAATTCAAGTCAAGGCTTGAATTTTTCTCTTATGATCTTTGAGAAGTGCTGATTATGTTCTTCCCTTTTGGTTTTCTACCTCCAGGTCTTTGCATGTTTCAATACTTGACTTTGTCTTCTCGAGCTGCCCTTTGTAATTTTCTGTTCAGTTGTTTTATTTCCTCATTTTTTCTATTTGCTTTAGCATCTCTACACTCGAAACAAAGTTTTAGAGTCTCTTCTGATATCCATTTTTGTCTTTCCTTCTTTTCTGTATTTTTAATGACCTCTTACTTTCTTCCTGTATGATGTTCTTGATGTCATCCCACAACTCTTCTTTTCATTGATCATTCGTGTCTAATGCATATAATCTGTTCTTGAGATGGTCTATAAATTCAGATGGGATATGTTCAAGGTCATGATTTGGCTCTCATGAACTTGTTTAAATTTTCTTCAGCTTCAGTCTGAACTTGCAATATGAGCAATTGATGGTCTGTACCACAATTGGCCCCTGACCTTGTTTTGGCTGATAATGAGGTTTTCCACTGTCTCTTCCCACAAATGTAGTCAGTTTGATTCCTGTGTATTCTGTCTGCTGAGGTCCATGTGTATAGTCAGTTGCCTTTTATGTTTTTTAAAAAAGGTATTTGAATGAATAAACCATTAATCTTGCAAAATTCTAACCTTCTATCTCCAGTGTGATTTCTATCACCAAGACCATATTTTACAACTGTTGATCCTTCCTTTGTTTCCAACCTTTGCCAGTACATCTTGATTGCATGTTTGATTCATTTCAAACTGAAGAAGTTGGTAGAATTCCTCAATTTCATCATCACTGGCTTTTATGGTTGGTGTATAAATTTGAGTAATAGTGGTATTCAACAGAATAAGTATAGTGAAAGGATACAACCCTAACACACACTTTGCCTGATTTTATATCCCTTAATAGTCCCTTGTTCTGTTTGAATGACTGCCTCTTGGTCTGTGTATAAGTTCCTCATGAGCACACTGAAGTGTTCTGTAATTCCCTTTTTTCATAATGTTATCCATAGTTTGTTATGACCTACCCAGTTGAATGCTTTTGCATAGTCAGTAAAACACAAGTAAATATCTCTCTGGTGTTCTCTGCTTTCAGCTAAGATCCATCTGAAGCCAGTAATGATATTCCTTATTCCATGTCCTTTTCTGAATTCAGCTTTAATTTCTGGCAGCTCCTTGTTTATGTACTGCTGCAACTGTTCTTGAATTATCTTCAGCACAATTTTATTTGCATGTGATATTAATGATGTTTGATAATTTAAGCATACTGTAGAGTCACATGTCCTTGAGATGGGCACAAATAAGTCTCTTGTCATTTGGCAGTAGCTGTCTTCCAAATTTCTTAGCATAAACTAGTGAGTGCTTCCAGCCCTGCATCTGTTTATTCACAGTTTAGTTGGTATTTTGTCAATTCATACAGGCCTGGTTTTCTTCAGTACCTTGTATGGGTTGTTGTTGTTGTTAAGTGCCATCTAGTCAGTTCCGACTCAGAGTCAACCCAGTATAGGGTTTCCAAGGAGCAACTGGTGACTTTAAACCGCTGATCTTGTGGTTCAAACCGACCTTGCAGTCCTGTGCTTATCCTACAATGCCATACTAGAAGTCCATTCCCCTTAAATTGATGTTTTCATGGACATAAAGCAGATTTATTCTGTGTGCCCTGCTTGTAATTACTGTAGTTGTGTTGAGAATGGGGTCCTTGGAGAAAAGGGAGTAGGTAATTCAGAAAGATCCTTTTTGTGACCAAGACAACCTCCTCTCTACTCACCTTTAGCTAACTACACCAAGAGTCTCTTGATCGTTAGTGTATTTGACGTAGAGGGTAGGGAACCATACATAGATAAACGGCCAGGAACACTTCAGATTCTAGAGACCCAGGGAGAGAGAGCCTCTTTTCAAGTTTGTTGTTAAGTACCCGTCGTCAGTGCTGGCTCATAGCGACCCTGTATAGGGTTTCCTAGTAGCAGCTGGTGGGTTTGATTCGCTGACCTTGTTGTTGGCAGTCCAGTGCTTATCCTACAGCGTTACACCTCTTTATGCGGCCAGATCCCTGGTCCACACACTTATTTATAGGGTGCCTCCACCTCACGTCGGTCCACCAGCGCGATGGAACAGAGAAGTGTTAAAGATGGGATACAAGAACAGGACTCTCCAGACACACTCAATGGAGGAGTTAAATCTCTTCGGGGCTGGGAGCCTCGCTCCGCCCCTCCGACCCCGCCTCCTCCCCCAGCGCTGAGGTCCTGGCGGGTTTACTCCAGAGGGGGCGGCCCCAGCCTGAGCCCAGGATCGGGCGGAGCTCCTGCCCGGGCGGAGCTGCGGCTGCAGCGTCTCCCTGCCGTACCGAACTCCAGCCGTGGAGACTGCGGGAGCGGCGCCGAGTCCCCTTCCCCCACACCCACAACCCACCTCGGAGCCTTCCGAGCCCCCCTCCCGGTTCCCCGAGACTGCTGGTAAGTCACGCTCGCAGCACTAAACTTAGTTGTTTTGTTGGGGGGAGGAGGCGGTAGATGATTGAGAATAGCTTGAACTGAACTGTACACGACTCCATAGCTTTTCCGAAAATGGATCAGAGCTCATCCATTTCCAAAGTTGGTAAAACTCTTTGATTTTAGCTCGTGAAACTTGGAGAAATGAAGATGAGGGTATTTGCTGCAACTTGCTACCTCCTTCTTACCCCCCTTTTCCCCTGAGACGGAGCAGTTTCCTATACTTTCCCTCCATATTTCAAGAATCTGACTCCGTAAACGCTCGTCCCCTCCCAACTCTGGCGTGGCACAACTCCCCTCCCCCAGGCACTTTGGTTCCGCCTTCTCTCCGTTACCCTCCGGGACCCCATGATTTTGGGCTGTACACTCCCTCCGGGTGTATTTGTCTTAAAGATCGGCCCACGACGTGCGGGGGCTGGGGCCGGCCGAGGAGGGAGGGGCTGAGGCTGGGGCTGTCCGGAGCTAGGCGGGCGGGGCCGAGAAGGGGAGGTGTAGGGGGCCGGACTGGGCGGAGCAGGAGGCATTTGCGGCCGGCGCTGGGGTGTAGAGTTGTGCGCCGGTCCCTGGGCCTGAGCTCGGGCTCGGGCTCGGGCTCGGGCGCCTGCGATGTCTCAAGATGGCGGAGCTGGGCGAATTAAAGGTACCGGTCCCCTCCCCCATCCCCTTCTGGACCGATCCCGGCGGTTTGCCGTGTGGGGAAAGTGACCGAGAGTGGGTACTGACGGCTCGGGTGGCGGCAGGAGACGTGGCAGGGAAAGACTGTAGGGCTGCTGAGGATGGAAGAGGAGCTGTGGGCTGGGAAGGGGCTGCGGCTGACTCGGGGGCGGGGCTGAGGGGAATTGCAGCTGTTGGGGGCCGAAGCGCAGGGGGCGGGGACGCGGTAGCAGTCGGATTTGGTGGTAGGGGCAGATGTAGAGGTAGAGCTAGGGGAAAAAGCTGCTGTAGAGGTAAAGGGGGCTAGTTGATCAAGGCCTAGAGATGCGACAGCAGGGGGCAGAGGTCGGGATGTGACTGGGGAACAGATGTAGCAGAGGGCCCTCGGGGAAATTAATAGAGTAGATAGAGGCTTTGGGACTGCTGTTGGGATTCCAAACTTGGGAAATACCCAGTAGGTGACTGAGATTACACGGGGCGGGACTATGAGTACACATACTTCAAGAAGTGGGGCGTAAGCATCCTGGAGGCTGATAGGACCTTCCTGCCATAGTGAGTGAGCAGTGGGAGAGGCCGTGTGAAACCTTGGGACAGAAAGGAAGGCCAAGTATAGGCACAACTATTGGAAAGATAAAGGCAGGACAGAGGAGTGAAGGATGAGGAGGAAGGGAGAGCTATGAGTTGTTCACTATATTCATCAAAAGGGACCAAGCCATTAGTCTTCACCACTCAGATCAGAAGAACGGGATGGTGCCTGGCTACCAACTGCACTGAAAGGGATCACATTAGAAGGTTCTGGATGGAATGGGAGAAACTGGAACAAAACTCAAAATTAATAATAAGACCTGTTTTTCTGGTCGGAAAGAAACTGGAGAAACCAGAGACTATGACCCTGGACCACCCTTAGGGCTGGAAAGGAACTCAACCTCTTGACCCAACTTTCAGCCAAGCAGTAGATAGGTATATAGGGGGGACAACAATACTAGTAAGGTATGCTCACCGTGGAATGGCCAATGTTTCAAAATCAAAAGGGCATCATTTGTTTAAGGACAAAGTTGAGAAGGGACGGGAAGGTGGGTGGAATGGAAATAGGGAACCACAGGGAGGAAGTTGGCTAACTGTTGCATGGAAGGGATTACAATCATTGAGATGACACACAGTGTGATTATTTAATGTAAAACTGATGATCTTGTTTGTAACACTTCATTCAGTTTATAATAAAAAGTTAAAAAAAAAACAAGGGGGGACTAAGCCTATGAACGGGAAAAATTTGGAAGGCTAGTAGACCTATGGCTGAGTCTTGTAGAGAGAGATTCATGGAAAGGAGTCTTTGAAGGAGAGAAGGCTTTGTGCCTTTCCACCACAACATAGAGTCTGAGGATAAATGCATCAAGGGGTAGTTCACAGATCCTTAAACCAGCAGATTCATCCGTCTGCTGCCAAGCTTTATTCTGCCCCTTTGGAATGGAGCCAAAGCCTTGAGCAGGCTGGGGTGTAGCCATTGTGTCACTGGGCTCAGCTGCCATCATAAAATTATTTCCACTCATGGCGATCCCATGTGTGTCAGAGTAGAACTGCTCAATGGAGTTTTCAGTGACTGACTTTTGGGGAGTAGATTATCAGATTGTTCTTCTGAGGCACTGCTGGATGGACTCAAGCCTCCAATCTTTCAGTTAGTAGTCAAGCATTTTAACCATTTGTCGTACCCTGGGAGCAAGCAGTTCTGTACTCTAGATCAGGATTCATATGCTTTCTCTTCATTTTTACCAGGGCCTCTGTTTAGAGCTTTGGGCTCTCATTTCACCCCTGTGGAAGGGATGGAGTGGGAAATCCTTATTTTCTCTATGTAGGAGAGAAGCAAGATATTAGTTCCTGGCAGATGGAGTAAACAGGTAAACAGGCAGGATAACTGGACTTGGTGGTTCCCTGTTCTCCCTTTTCCTCCAGTTTTTGTTTTGTATTCTTTCCAGGAAACTAGAGTAAAGGGAGAGGTGATTATACAGATGATGCAGAGAAAGGATTTTGGGGAAACCCTATCCACAAAGGCTTCAGAGGCTTGGGGCTCTAAATAGCTGAGGTTGGGAGGGGTGGACTGTGGGGCACAATCCTCCTGCCACCTGTGTTCTCTTTTGTATAGGGCCATGTGGCCTGCATCCTTCTCTCCCTCCTTCTTCCCTGAATCTTACCTCTTCCTAAGAGGTTGGGATGTAAGAAAGAGCAGGACAGGAGATACAGAGCTTAAAGGACAATCCAAGATAAAGGCAGGAATGAGTGTAGAAAGCTGTAGTGGACTCGAGGTGTGTCTGGGGGTGGCTTGCTGTGTACCTTCCCCTGCTGCCGCTGTGGTCAGCTTCCAGGAATTGGGAGATAGGGCTACTCAAGCTGTGGAGTAGGGGCAAGGTTGATCTGAGGTGGTTAAAATGCTAGCTCTACCTGATAGTAATCTTGCTAGCTGCAGAGCATCTTTCTGCCCACCAGGCATCTTAGCCCCGGTGACCTTGGCAGGATTTTCAAGCTTCTGCTCTTCTCCACAGCACATGGTGATGAGTTTCCGAGTATCTGAGCTCCAGGTGCTCCTCGGCTTTGCTGGCCGGAACAAGAGTGGAAGGAAGCACGAGCTCCTGGCCAAGGCCCTGCACCTCCTCAAATCCAGCTGTGCTCCCAGCGTCCAGATGAAGATCAAAGAGCTTTATCGCCGCCGCTTTCCCCGGAAAACCCTGGGGCCCTCTGATCTCTCCCTGATCTCTCTGCCCCCTGGCCCCCCTCCTGTAGCTTCCCCTGGCCCCCTAGCTCCCATTCCCCCAGCCCTCTTGGCACCTAGCACGGTGCTGGGCCCCAAACGTGAGGTAGACATGCACCCCTCTCTGCCTCAGCCTGTGCACCCTGATGTCACCATGAAACCATTGCCCTTCTATGAAGTCTACGGGGAACTCATCCGGCCTACCACCCTCGGTATGGTTCTTAGCCTTCCTGGACTCCATGCCTTTTCCCCAAGTCTTTCTTGGGCTTTAGCTCTATGGGATCAACAGGTAGGGAGCCACTTCTGGGGCTCCCTGTTCACGGGTTTACGCATAACCACCCCTCTATGTCTTCAGCATCCACTTCTAGCCAGCGGTTTGAAGAAGCGCATTTTACGTTTGCCCTCACACCTCAGCAAGTGCAGCAGATCCTCACTTCCAGGTACTTCTCCTTCAGGCTTTCTGCCTCATTCCTGGGTGTTTATCCCTCTGCTCTGCTGTCTTCTGTTCACCCTTGTACTTTTCCTGCACTGCCTTTATCTCTCATTCTCTTGTAGTATCTCTTCTCTGTTCCTTGGACACCTAACTCTCCCTCACCCCTTTCACTCATTCATACCCCCTGAGGGCCACATGCTGACATTTCTCCCTTTCTGTTTCAGAGAGCTTCTGCCAGGAGCAAAATGTGATTATACCATACAGGTGCAGCTAAGGTGAGTCGGTTCTCCCCTCTGCCCTAACGGGCCCCCATGGGGAGTGGAATGAAGTAGGGGTATGACAGATACTCCTAGGTTAGATGTATCACAGCTCTGTCACTGCTAACCTGAGCCATGGTACTCTTGTTGGATGTACAGAACTGTGGATACCCATGACTGACTTTCTGGGATTCCCCGTTTCTCTGTCAGATTTGATTCCAGAAACTGCCTTCCATTCCTTCATCCTCTCCCATCTCTCACCAGGTTCTGTCTCTGTGAGACCAGCTGTCCCCAAGAAGATTATTTTCCTCCCAACCTCTTTGTCAAGGTCAATGGGAAACTGTGTCCCCTGCCGGTAAATTCTCTTCCCTTCTCCTGGCAGTAGCTGCTTTCCCTCTTTAGTTCAGTTAACTGCACAATTATGAGGGGCCAGTTGTGTGTTGTTGTTGTTAGGTGCCATTGAGTTGGTGCCGATTCATAGCGACCTTATGCACAGCAGAATAAAACACTGACCAATCCTGGGCCAACCTCACTATTGTTGCCACGCTTGAGTCCATTGATGCTGCTACTTGGCCAATCCATCTTGCTGGGGATCTTCCTCTTTGGGGATTACCATGGAATGGATAATGGTTCCTGCTCTCATAGAGTCTGTGCAATAGACATACCCATGAAGAGAGATGTGTAGCATGGTGCTTGGCACAGAGCAGGTGCTCAGTCTGCAGAATGCTAAGATGAGGCTCAACAAGCGTTCTGACAGAACCCAAAGGAAGAACATTGACTTCAGTCCAAAACTCAGAGAAGACTTCTTAGAAGTGATGACCCCAGAGCTGGGAGTTGGAGGAAGTGAGGCATCTCTATTCCTCTACCTTAGGAATACAGTGATTGGGTTCACATTTCCTTTGTCAGTAGGTATGCCCTCCTTTCTCTCCAAGAGTGAATCCCACACACAATCTTAGAACGTCACTGGATGGGCTCCAAACTCTTGGTCAGTGAGTGAGCCAGCCTTCTCTTCAAGGACTTAGTAACCCAGGGTAAAATGTCTTGTTAGAGCAGAGAACACCTTCCCAAGAAGCCTTCCTTTGACCAGCCCCTCCTTTCTAGGGTTACCTACCCCCTACCAAGAATGGGGCTGAGCCAAAGAGGCCCAGCCGTCCCATCAACATCACACCACTGGCTCGACTCTCAGCCACTGTTCCCAATACTATAGTGGTCAATTGGTCATCTGAATTTGGACGGGTGCGTATGGCAAAGGCAGTGAGCCTGGAGAAGCCTGGGGGTGTTGTGGGGTGTGGGGACGAATCATTGTGTCCTGATTTGGGTAAAAAGCTTCCTCTTTTTGGGACTCTGCCTTATAACCCATTGCCTCTGGCCTTCATAATGTAGGGGGTTGCTGGTGTGAAAAGCAGACGCTGATCAGTCCCCTCTTCCCCAAGTAGAATTATTCCTTATCTGTGTACCTGGTGAGGCAGTTGACTGCAGGGACCCTTCTACAAAAACTCAGAGCAAAGGGCATCCGGAATCCAGACCACTCCCGGGCACTGAGTGAGTAGCATCCCCCTCCTATAGTCTTCATCACTCTCCAGCCTTCATAATCAAACTCACATCCCTTTAAGTGCAGTTTATTTCCCCTTTAATCATCATCCCCTTTTCCAATCTTTGTGGTTAAGAATTTGGACCACTCCCTGCCACTGAGTGACCCCTTTGTACTCTCAACCATACAGACCCTAACCCCAACCTTGCTACACTTATAGGGTTGTGTTGCCTGGCTGTGTTTACACACTTGTAGGGTTGTGTTGCCTGGCTGTGTTTACACACTTGTACAGTTATGTCTCCTGGCTGTGTTTACACACTCTCAGGGAAGGAGAACCCTCCATCCAACCTTCATATTTCAGATTCTAGATCCCTTCCCCCAATGTGACATTCCATTGGTCTCCAAAGGTCACTCAGCCATAGTCACGTGATTTTGGCCTCACCAGTTGCTGAGCTTCCTCTCTGAATCTTGCTGACCCCTTGGCACTGACCCCCCTCTTGTTTCAGTCAAGGAGAAACTGACTGCTGACCCAGACAGTGAAGTGGCTACTACGAGTTTGCGGGTGTCCCTCATGTGCCCGGTGAGTCCAAGGGGAGAAGGGCAGGAGAGAAGGGTTGGGTTAACCTCTGGACTTTGATGAGGGTTCCTGGGGATACCAGAGGTTTTCCTGGATGTGGAGATGCTGACCAGAGAACATGCCTTTCCTCAGCTAGGGAAGATGCGTCTGACTGTTCCTTGCCGTGCTCTTACCTGCGCCCATCTGCAGAGCTTCGATGCTGCCCTCTATTTACAGATGAATGAGAAGAAGCCGACGTGGACGTGCCCTGTGTGTGACAAGAAGGCTCCCTATGACTCTCTAATCATTGATGGGTAGGACCATTCTGCTTCATCTTACCTAGAACAACCACTAGGATCTCTCTCGTGAACCTCATATATAAAGATCTTTGAAAATTTCCATTGTCTTTTAATTTCATCTTTCCATGAACTTTTTGAAGCCTCCTCCAAAACCTTTCTATCTGCTATATCAGTCTGTATTTCTCTACATCTATACCAACAGTAAGGCCTTACTATATACCACGCATTGTGTCTTATTTCACTGAATCCTTAAAATAACCTGGTGAGATAAGTTCTAGAATTACAGATGAGGAAACCGAGACCTAAAGAGATCGATCGTCTTGCATAAAACTATATATATCAGCAGTTATGAATGTTTGACTTATGGACAACTCCTATTTGCCCTTTAAAGCTGTGTAAATTTGCTCTAATTTTTAAATGACTGAACTAATCTCTAACCGAAAAAACCCAAAACAATTGACTCGCTGCTGTCGAGTCAATTCCAATACATTGTGACCTCATAAGGCAGGGTAGAAGTACTCTGTAGGGTTTCCATGGCTGTAAATCTTTAAGTAGACTGCCACTTTTTTCTCCCTTGGAGAAGCTGGTGGGTTCGAACCACCAACTTTGCAAGTAGCAGTCTAGTGCTTATACTACAGCACTACACCAGGTCTAATCCCTACTCACAACAAATTCTACATCACAGTCACATTCGCTGTGGATATACGTGCAGTTTTTTATTTTTTCGCCTTTTTATAGTGAATGGAATGAGAGTTTACAGATAGAGCATCAGTTTTACATTCAACAGGTCATATATATACTTTGCTTGATTACATGGTTGCAATCCCCTCCATGTACCAACACTTCATTTACCTCTATTCACTTTTAACTATTGCATTCCTCCTTGTGTCTCCCGCTATCTTCAACTTTCCTCTGCTAAACTCCGTCTTGCATATTGCCTGCCTTGCCATCCATGTTAACATGGGTCCATGTGTCTACTCTCTAGCCCATGAATAATCTGCTTCCCGCCCCCTATCCCCCGACCCATGTAACTATCATGTTGTTGTTGTTAAGTGCCTCGGAGTCGGTTCCGACTCGTAGCGACCCTGCGCAGGGTTTCCGAGTCTGTAAATCTTTAAGGGAGCAGAACGCCTCATCTTTCTCCCGCGGAACAGCTGGTAGTTTCAAACTGCTGACCTTGCGGTTCACAGCCCAATTCGTAACCGCTACGCTAACTATCATAGATTGTTGCTTTTATCAGAAAATCCTTATTTAAAAACTTTTTACAACATTGGTCTCATACCAATGAGATTTTTTTTTTTTGTAATTAATTTAACTCAGCATAATGTTCTCCAGGTTTAACCATGTTGTGAGGTATTTCACAGATTCCTCATATTCAGTGTTTTGTGGTATTCCATTGTGTGTATGTTCTAAACTTCATTTAATCATTCTTTTGGGCATTTAGGCCATCTCCATCTTTTTGATACGTCTCTTGTAAACAGCATTTTGAAGGATACTGTTTTCTTATCCAGGCTGCTCTCTATGACTCTTGACTGGTATGTTTAAGCCATTTATATTCAGTGTAATTATCAATAGCTATGAATTGTCATTTTTCTGTGTGGTTTTTTTTTGTTTTTTTTTTTGTGATGCTGCTGGATTCTTTGTTCCCCATAATTTTCTACGCTGAGTTAATTTTGTTTGTGGGTTTTCTTTTAATTTTCGTTTCTGTTGTATTAATGTTTACTGTCTCAGATTTTCATCTTTTTAAAAAAAATGTGATGTGCAGGTTTTATTATATTTTCTTTGAGGTTACCCTGTAATTTCTTAGTTTTTTCCCCTGCTTAAAATAATCTGTTTTATCTTGAAATCTATTTAATTTCCTTGCCATTTGGCATTTTGCTTTGTTGTTGACTTCATTATACATTGATATCTCTGGTTCCCTATTTTCAGTGTTGTAGGTTTGTTTTACTTTAAGTAGTTCTGTATCTGGACTATGTTCTGGGTAGTGTTATTTATGTATGGTAATCTCAGGTAAAGTTTGTCTGGTCATTACAAATATCTTTAATTTCTGTTTATCAGCAAATACCGTAATTTGCCCTCGTATTTGAGGGACAGCTTTGCTGTGCATGTGATTCTTGTTTGGCAAGTTTTTTCTTTGAAGAGTTTTATATATGTCATCCCATTGCCTTCTTGTCTGCTTGGTTTCTGCTAAGGTTCTCCTTGTGGACAACTTTTCATTTTTCTTTAGCTTCTCAGGATTCTTTCCTTATGTTTGATTTTGGAAAGACTAATTATCATATGTGTTGGTGATTTTCTTTTGGAATCTATACTGTTTGGGGTTCTTTCAGCTTCTTGTATACTTACCTTCTTTACTTTCATGATGCTAGTTTTTTCCTAACAGCTCTTTGATAATTTTCTCTGTGCTTTTTATAGTCTCTTCCTGTTGTGGAATTATAGTTTCCCGTAAGCTGTTCCACTTCATGGTGTCCCACATAATTCTTAAGCTTTTTTGGATTTTTTAATTCTTTTTTTGCCTGAGTGTTATTTTTGTTGTTAAGATTTATCTTCAAGTTCACTAACATTCAGGCTTCCATTGCTTCAAATCTTCTTTGCCCTTTCAATGTATTGTCCATTTCTGAGATCTTAGTATTTTAGCATTTATCTTCTGGATTTCTAATTGCAGGGTTTGTATTGTGTCACATTTTGCATTTATTCTATTCTTGAAGCATTTTCCTGAATTCTTGTAACTTTCTTTGTCTTCTCTTTGCTTTCCTCGATCTTTCTGTCAATCCATTGAAGTTGCCAAAATATCACTTTTAAATTCTTTTTCAGTTATTCTCATTACCATTTTTTTCTGAGATATGTTCTTTTTCTGAGTATTGATTATTTGTTAGAACCATTCTCTCTTGTTTCTTCGTGTGAGCTAAAATTTTCTGTTGTCTCCAGGGCATTATGGGGTTGTCATATTTGTTGCAAACAAATGGCAGTTTTTGGACCCAGAGGGGAGAAATCTGGTGGCTTCTACAATTCAAGTTGGTCACGAGGTGGTTGTGAAAGGATGTGGCAGCAGAGTTCCTGGCCTTAGATGGAGTTCCTTTGACCTTGGTGTTATCTATGTTCGAGGCACTCATTCTGGAAGTAATTCTTATGGGCCCTTGATGAAGCTGGTTTCAGTGTCTTGTTAGGACCACAGGGCATCTGGAGGCAAGGTGACTAGTTAAAGGTTGCTGTGGTAGCTTTGTGAGTTTTGTAGGTCTGGAGCTAAGCCCACCTGAATCCAGGTATCAAAGTGTGGCACACCAAAGCCGCATAGCCGACCCTCAAGTCACACTGGCATGGCTCTTAATCATGTGGCTCAGATCATCCAGAAAGTGATAGCATAGTGTAGTGGTTATGAATCGGGCTGCAAACCTTAAGGTCAGAAGTTCGAAACTACCAGCTTGTTCCTCAGAAGAAAGGTGAGGCTTTCTGCTCCCGTAAAGATTTACAGCCTCTGAAACCCTGTACAGGGTCACTATGGGTTGGAATTGACTCGACAGCATTTAACAACAACAACAACGGGTGGATGAGGGTGGGAGCTGGCCACACCTCTGTGCACTAGTGAAGCATGAGGGGAAAGAAGAAATCGCACCTTTCCTGCTGTCCACCTGAATCTGCTCTGTCCGGCCTCCCTCTGAGGCCAAAGCTGCTCACAAGATGGTCAAGCCTTGTCTGGCCAGCTGTTCACCAGTCAGTCTGCCTCTCACCATCTCCCTGCTCAGCCTCTTCTCCTAGCAAGCACTCCATCCACCTCGCTAACCTTTCTTCTGAAGTTCTGGCTGCTAGAATTTTCATCTGTGTCTATTTTATTTTTTTGTAGCTTTGCTGTGGAGGGTCCTTGTAGTGTATCTGCTTAATCCACCATTTTCCTGGAAGTACTGGCACATGCAGCTTTTTTAAAAAAAATCATTAAGAAGGCTTTAAGCCTTTCTTTGCACCAAAGTAAGGCTAAATAAGAACCTGTTCAGATGTTCCTACAATTTTTTTTTTTTTAACTTTTGCTTGAACTGAGTGAAGGTTTACAGAGCAGAACATCAGTTTTACATTCAACAAATCATTTAGTAATCCCTTCCATGTACCAACAGTTAACTACTATTCATTTTAACTATTACATTCCTCCCTGGGTCTCCTACTACCTTCATCTTTCCTCTGCTAACCTCCCTCTTGCCTACCCTGTCACCCATGTTAACATGTGTCTGTCCACCCTATAGACCATGAAAATGTTCCTTTCCCTCTGCCGCCCGCATCATCATAGATTGTTTCTTTTATCAAGAAAATCTTTTAAATTTTTGCAACATTGGTCTTATACAATAATTGTCCTTTTGTGATTGACTGATTTCACTGAGCATAATGTCCTCCATGTTCATCCATGTTGTGAAGTGTTTTACAGATTTATTGTTATCTTCAGCATTGCACAGTATTCCATTGTGTGTATGTACCAGAGCTTGTTTAAGCATTCTTCTGTTGATGGGCATTTTGGCATCTTCATCTTTTCAGTGTCTTCTGTAGACCAGAAGGAATTCTGTTTTCTCATCCATTAGGCTGTCTCTGGACAGGTACATTTAGTCTCCATTCAGTGTAATTATCAATAGGTCTGAATGATTGCTATCATTCTTCTGTGTGTTTTTTTGTGGTGCTGCTGGTTTCTTTGTTCTACATCATTTTCTGTGCTTAGTTCATTTTATTTATGGGTTTTCTTTTAATTTCCATTTCTGTTGTGTTAATGCTTACTGTATCTTTTGGATTTTATATTTTGATGTGCAAGTATATTCATTTTCTTTGAGGGTACTCTTGTAATGTATTAATTTTTTTCCTATTTAAAACAGTCTTTTTTATCTTGAAATCTTTTTGACTTCCTTGCCATTTGGAAGTTCTGTATCTATACTATTCTCTCTTTTTGCTTCATAGTTGGTTTCATAATAAATCGATATTTCTGGTTCCCTATTTTTAGTCTTGTAGATTTGTTTTACTTTAAATACTTTTATGTCTGGATTGAGTTCTGGGTAGTAGTATCATGTATGCTAATCTCAGGTTGCTGTCTGCTGTTGTTGGTTCTCTGTCTAAACAACATCCTTTAGCATTGTGTGTAAAGCTTGTATCTGGTCATTACAAATTCCTTTATGTTTATCAGGAAAGTCCTAATTTTGCCATCATATTTGAGGGACAGTTTTGCTGGCTGTATGATGCTTGGTTGGCAGTATTTTTCTTTCTGAGTTTTGTGTATGTCACCCCATTGCTTTCTTGCCTGCATGGTTTCTGCTTAGAGATCAGAGCTTAGTCCTACTGGTTTTCCTCTCTAGTCGAAAACTTTTCATTTTTCCTGAGCTCCTCTCAGAATCCTTTCCTTGTCTTTGGAAACTTTGATTATGATATTTCTAAGTGACTTTCTTTTGGAGTCTATCCTGTTAGGGGCTTATTTAGCTCCTTGCATGCTTATCTTCTTGTCTTTCATGATGTTAGCAAAGTTTTCTTCCAACAACTCTCTGGCAATTTTCTCTGTGCTTGTCTTTTCCTGTTCTGGAATTCTGATCACCCATGAGTTATTCTACTTCTTGGTGTCCCACATAACTCTTAGGCTTTCTTGGGAGTTTTCCATTTTTTTTGCTGATTGTTCTAGTATACTATTATTGAGAGATTTATCTTCAAGCTCACTAATTTGGGCTTTCGTTGCTTCAAATCTACTCTTTTGCCCTTTCAGTGTATTGTCCATTTCTGAAATTTTAGAATTAATCTTCTGGATTTCTACTTGCAGGTTTTATATTACTTCAAAATTTGCATTTATTCTGTTTGTTCTTTGTGTTTTCCTGAATATTTGTAACATTTTTTTCTGTGTTTTCCTAGATTTCCTCTTTCTTTCTGTCAGTTCTTTGAAGGTACCTAAATATCATTTGTTTGAATTCTTTTTCAGTTAATTCCATTACATTTTTTTCCTTAGAAATGTTTTTTTGTCCCTGCATCTTAGTCATTTATTTGAACCATTCTCTCTTGTTTATTCATGTGAGCTAAAATGATCTGGTTTTTCCCGGGCATTGTGGGTTGTCGTATTTGTATTTGGTTGATTATATGTTGATGTGTTTTAGGTTCTCACTAGCTGTCTCCTGTGGGTGTAGTTCACTGTTCTTGTTCACCATTCTGTGCGTCAGTTTAGGTTGGGTTTGGCTGGTGTTGACTGCTGTCTATCATTGGTGAGGTGATAGAGTAGCTGGTATTGACTTTTGCCCAGTTGGGCTACGTGGACAAAACTGGTGTCTCTTGTTGGGTGGGGAAGAGGAGAAACCCTCCCTCCCACACAGAAGAAAACATAACAGAATAAACCAGGGAAAAAAGAAATGAAAGCAGGTAACAACCAGGAAAAAAAGTATATAATTAATTATAAAGGTAAATGAGGGACAGGGAAATAGAAGATAAAAATAATGGAAAAATAAAAGAAGTGGGACAGGAAAATGGAGTTATAGAAGAGGAAATAAAACAAAGGAATAAAAATAGCTCTTGAAAAACCAGGGAGAGGGAAGATGAAGAGAAAGAGATAGTGTTGTTTAGTGCTGTCGAGTGGGTTCTGACTTATAGTGACCCTGTTTAAAGTTTGTGAGGAATGGCTATTGCATTGAACCACCCAACTTGCAATTTAAACCAACCTTGCAGGCCAGTGCTTATCCTACAGTGCTACTGCAGTACAGACAGTAAAGTAGTAAAGAAAGATCAAAAGGGGAAGAGAAAAATTAGGGGAGAAACAAGAAACAGAACAAAAGAAGGAAAAATGGAATTGGAAAGAGAAAGGATAAATTCAAAGGAATGGAAAGAAGGGGGAGAAAGAATAAACAAACAAAAATGAAACAACAGAAGGAAAACAAACCCCCAAACAAATATAACAGTGCAGTTGTTGGACCTGGAGAGGAGAAAACTCTGGGGGTCTTCTGCATGCCAGGTAGCTTACAAAGGTGGGTGTGGGAGGGATGTGACAGCTGAGTTCCTGGCCCTAGATGGAGTTCCCATCAGCCTCGGCGTTATCTATGTTCAGGGCTCTCAATCCAGAAGTAGTTCATGAAGGCCATTGATGGAGCTGGTTTCAGAGTCTGTTAGGACCACAGGACAGCTGGGGGCAGATTGGTGGCTCTGGGGGTTCTGTAGGTCCTAAGCTGAACCTACTTGAATCCAGGCACCAGAACAGTGCACCAAAGTGGTGTAGCTGGCCTTGCCTCACACAGGCCTGGCTTCTAACCATGTGGCTCAAAACCTGGAAGGCAGGGGCTTCGCTAGGGGTGGATGAGGATGGGAGCTGGCCACACTCTGGTCACCAGTGGAGCATGGGGGAAAAGAAGGAATTGCACACATTTACTGTGGCCTGTGGGAATCTGCTCTGCCAGGCCACCTTCTATTGCTAAAATACTCACAGTAGTTCGAGGTACTGTGCCGAGTCTGGCTGACCATTCACCATTCAGTCTCCTCTCACCGTCCCTGCTCAACTTTTCCTCCCAGTAAGCACTCAATACACTTTTCTAACCTTTCCTCTGAAGTCCAGGGTGACAGGATTTTCATCTGTATCTTTAATTTGGTGTCTCGTATCTTTGTTGTAGAGGGTCAGTGTAGTGTGTCTGCTTAGTCTGCCATCTTGTCAAGAGAGCCTACAAATCCTTACAGACAAAGTTAGGAACCTATCTCATTTGTAACCTAGTAAACTGCCTGTATTATAAATAAGTGGCAGAGCCAGTGTACTGAATTGTTATGCTAAGTTGCCTGTAACAACTACCTGGCCTTCCACTGAGCATAGTAATAAGGTTCTTTTGAGGTCCTCAGTGTGCTGGTTTAGTTAGTCCTAACAAGTTGCAGGCCTGCAGTTTAAATCTACCAGCCTCTCTATGGGAGAAAGATGAGGCTTTCTGCACCTATAAAGATTTACAGCCTTGGAAACCCTACACAGGGTCGCCATGAGTTGGAACTGACTCCATGGCATACCACAACCACCACCACCAACAACAACCCTCTTAAAGTCCACATTATGGTTCCTGTTCTCAGCACCCTTTTTGGTACGGTTTATGGAGTTCTGTATCTCTTCCCCTTCTGTCTTGTTTCTAATATCACACATAACTGATGCTCAGAATGCACTGATTTTTAAACATGGCACTTAGAATTTGCAGAGCTCTTTTATAGATCTTTATTTGATTTTAGCAACAACTCAGGTTGTTAGTTTGGTGGATGATACCCCTATTAAACAGGTGAGAAAACTGAGTTCTAGGAAGGTAAGTGGCAGAACGCTCTGGCCATCTCCCAGCCCCATGAGTTCTTATCCCTCTCCTCTCCTCTCCTCCAGTTTATTCATGGAGATTCTGAATTCCTGCTCGGACTGTGATGAGATCCAGTTCATGGAAGATGGGTCCTGGTGCCCAATGAAACCTAAGAAGGAGGCATCTGAGGTTTGCCCCCCACCAGGGTATGGGCTGGATGGTGAGTGACACCCTGTCCTCCACCTGAGCTAAATCCTTGATGGCCTCTTTTCTGAGACAGTCTTCTACCTCCCATAGGCCTCCAGTACAGTACAGTCCAAGAGGGAAACCCATCCGAGAGTAAGAAAAAGGTGGAAGTTATTGACCTGACCATAGATAGCTCTTCAGATGAGGAGGACCTGCCCCCGACCAAGAAGCACTGTCCTGTCACCTCAGCTACTATCCCAGCCCTGCCTGGAAGCAAAGGGTACAAGGAAATGGGCTGCATGTGCAGCAGAAGGGGCAGGGAAAGAAAAGTCGAGTGCTTTCTGATCACTGTACAACCCTGGGGCAAGGGAAAGGGTGGAGGGGACAGGGCGAGGCTGAGCAGGCTGAGGGGCATCTTTGGTCACCAGCTGCCCCACCTCCTCCTCCTCTCCTCACAGAGTCTTGACCTCAAGTCACCAGCCATCCTCGGTGCTTCGGAGCCCTGCTATGGGCACGTTGGGTGGAGATTTCCTGTCCAGTCTGCCACTACACGATTACCCACCTGCCTTCCCGCTGGGCGCTGATATCCAAGGTATAACACCAGTTGCAGCTGGGGCCCTGCCTGCCATGCCTTCCCCAGAACCAGTCAGAACCCTTGCTCCTTTTCAGAGCCTCCTGGGCTCTACAAAAAGGGGCCACAGTTTAAGTAATTTCTTTTGTCTTTTTGGCAGAATGGTTAGACAGAAGACTGATTTTGACTTTTTTTTTTTCCTGCCAGGTTTAGATATATTTTCTTTCCTTCAGACTGAGAGTCAGGTAAGTGGAGATCTCAGATCTCAGAAGTGTCCTTGGTAGGCACTGATGGGCTCCCTTGCCCTCTTCCCTGCCCCCACTCCACCTTAAGGACCGAAATCAGATGGAAAGAAGCAGGCAGTTTCTTTTCCCTAAGTCCCACTTCCTTGGATTCCTACCTGAGTCTTCCCAGGTCCCCTGTCAGTGTTTTGTCCTGGCCTACTCACCGCCCCCCCACACCCATGTGCATTTGAGCACCATGCGTGCCCCAACTGCACATTCCTCACACTTCAAGTGCCTACAAGGTCAAGAACCAAGCAAGCTGGAGGGGCTCTCTCAGGGCCCCAGGAAGACAGGGTGTGGGGAGATAGGAGAAGGAGCCAGAGACATGCTGCCTCTCTTCTGAGAGCCTGCTTTGTGATGCACATTAAGTTGATTTATCCTGTATGGATTTCTGAGATGAGTGACTGGGAATGGGGGAAGTCAGGATAAAACCTTAAACTCTGCCCTTGATTCCTCCCAGCACTACGGTCCCTCTGTCATCACCTCGCTAGATGAACAGGATGCCCTTGGCCACTTCTTCCAGTACCGGGGGACTCCTTCCCACTTCCTGGGCCCATTGGCCCCATTGGGGAGCTCCCACCGCACCTCCCCTCCAGCACCCCCTCCGGGCCGTGTGAGCAGTATTGTGGCCCCAGGGGGGACATTGAGGGAAGGGCATGGAGGACCCCTGCCCTCCGGTCCCTCCTTAACTGGCTGTCGATCAGACATCATTTCCCTGGATTGAGTCCCCTGGATTGTGGACCATTCACTGCCCCCTTGACACTGAGCAAGAATGGAAGCCAGACCCCTGGTCGCTCTGACCCCTTGTTTCTGTCTGACAAGGCCAACAGCCAAAGGGTTAATATTTAACCTCTTTTTAAGGACATATGGGGTCTATTTTTAGAAATGTTCTTTGGATGGCTGCACATTCCTTTGGGTATGTTAACCTAGGCAGTAACAGTCAGATGGGATAGGATTTGAATTGGGGGAAGGGCAAAATCAGCCTTAATATGCCTAGAGCTTTGTGAGGAGGGGGCCCCTCTCTTGTCCCCTAGATGCTCTGTCCTCCCCTCCCTCAAACCCATAACTCTGTTCCTTTCCCACATCCATTGTCTCTTCATGTCCATTCCATTCCCTTTGGCCAAACAGAAAGGTGGAGAAACTGAGAGAGACACATGGACAGAGAACTCTATTTTGGTTTGTAGTTTTTTTTGTACATTAACAAGAAAAAACAAAATACTCCAAAGATGATTTTCCCTGCCTCCCATTTCCCAGTCTGATAAGGCCTTAGCCCTGATCCCCAGGCGTTTGGGAGTAGGCGTGGCCTATTGCCTGGGTCTTTCTCTATTTATGTATTTAATTCATGTTTCTTATGCCGACTACTGGGCCTATGTTTCCAGAGGCCTGTGGTTAATTCATTCTGCACCTTTCCTGGGAGGTAGGAGGACTCTTGTGCTCTCCTTCCTAATTTTTGTTTTTTCAGGCTCCTTCAGGGCCTAGGATTTATGTTGTAATTTTACTTTTTATTCCTAAAGTTGTAGCAAAGTTCTTACCCCTAATAAAGGTTGTGAATGTTCTGTCAGTGTCACGGAGGTGGGTTGTTAGGGAGGGGCTTATGGACTTGACTTGCCAGACCCCTGGCTTCGGGGAAGGGGGTTCTTGTTCAGTTCTTCTTTGCTGGCCCTGGATCCAGGTGAGCTGTACTTCCAGATCGTGGGGGTGTCACACTGAGGAATTCCAAGAGAGGTTTTTCTTATTTTCCTCCCTCTCCCTCCTACCCATAATAGTCCAGTGATGTGGAGCCCACAAGTACTTCCTCACTCTTACCTGCCCAGGTGTTGCAGCCAGAGCCTGAGGGCAAATTTGGTCCCCGTGCTGACCCTCTCACTACACTCAGCTGTGGTGGGGGTCGTCCGTAGCAGTGTGGACACAGGCAGGACCAGCGGTCGTGCTTCTCCATCCTCCTGCAGTTCCATTGCACTGCAATAACAACTCCTGTGTGGGTGGTGTCTTTCGGTTTACAAAGCACTTCCATCTCCATTAGGCAATCTAATCCTCCCAACCATTGTCGGTTACCCTTATTTTACAGAAAGGATTCAAGTTCAAGGGGAGGATACATGACTTGCCCATGTGGAAGAGCTGGGACTCAAATCCTAACCTTCAGGAGCCCTTGAGTTAGATGTTCAGTGTCTTTGAATGTGATCTCTTCATTATCTTATCAGCTGGTCAACTCACCCCTAATCTCCCCAACACAGTGCTATCCTCAGCAAGGGATAGAAGTGGAACTTGGCAGTGTGTGGATGTGGGGGGTGGGTAGAATTGCAGCTCTTACTTACAGTACAGAGGGTGGTAGGTCTTCAGGGAGAGTTGTGGCTGTCTCTGTTCCATCCTCTGTGGCAGCCACTGCAGCTGCTACATCTGATCCCAGCCACAAAAAGGCACTCACCTCACTTGGGTTTGGTTGGATCCGTGCCTGGTTGGATCAGACATTTTGATTCCTTAGTCAAGCCTTTCTCCCTAGAGGCCTGTTCTTGACCACAGGTGGCAGGACAGGGATGGGGATTATATCTTACCTCTGGTAGCTCCCATCCCCTACCTTAATCACCAGCACAGCCAATTACCTAGGCTCCCCCTGAGCCCCATTTGCTCCTTCCACTGCCAGCCCTACCTGCAGCTGCTGCTGTGACTCCTGGGAGACCACAAGGAGATAGAGAACGATGTGATGGTATTTGGGGAAACCCCAGCTCAATCTTGGAGGGTAGGCAGACTAAGAAGGAAACAGCGAACAGTGAAAATTTACAGCATCTGAAACAAAATGTGGAGACTTGGGTGTGGTGCTGTGGTGTTAATGCACCAGACTGAACTGCAAGGTCTGCGCTTCAAGCTCACTAGCTGCACCTTGTAAACCCTATACAGTGTCGCTATGGGTCAGAATCAACTTGACGGCACTTTAACAACAAAGCAAAATGTTGGCCCAAAGCTAAGGAATTGGAGGGTAGAAATAGTACTGGAGGGATCTGGGTGAGGTCTGGGGTTTTGGGGGACTTCATTTCACACGCCCCCCTCTCTCCCTGTGGCCAAGATAGGTAGTGATTGTTTTACAGATTGACATAGATTGATGGTTAAATATGGAAGGGAAGGGTCTTGCCTTACCTCCCATAAACCCAGAGGGGCCCAGGAGAATTGGCCCTGGGGCAGCTGGAGTCCACTCTCCTCCCAAAGCTCTCGCAGGCCTCCATCCAGCAGCTGGGGAGTCAGAGCAGGTTAGAGTAGCTAGGGCTTGACTCTTCAGGAGCTTTTATATGCTCCTCCCTCAGCCAACACCAAGGTGGTCCCAGACTTAAGTCTCAAGGTAAGGGTGCAGGTTGGATCAGCTGATTGTTTACCTCCTCTTCAAGTTCCACATGCCCACCTACAAAAACAACAAAACCAATGCATGAGTAGTGGTGGGCTTGGCTAGTTACTCAATCCATGCTTACACTGCCCTCCCTGGAGTGGGCACAGATGCAGCTGCAGCCCCGTGTTTATGGTGTTTATGACGGCTATACTTTGGGCCCACTTCTTATACTGGGACAGGAAATACTAGGGATGGGTTAAGGGCAACTAACCCCAGATTTTGAGCCCTGCCCTTGGGGTGCTCACCTGGGGGTACCCAGAGGTTAGGGGAAAGTCTGAGAGTGCGAGTCCTTCGCGTCAATAGGACAGTCTGGTCGCTGGACTGCAGAATGACTGCCACACCCAAATCCACACCTCTGTGTGTGGGCAGCTCAGGCTCCAGGTCCTTGTGCTGCCGGTCCAGAGCCGCGAAGGGGCAGAAAGGGGGTCGCTGACAGGAGGGAACCAGAAGGTTGTCTTTAGAAGTGGTGTCGAGTTTGGGTGGGATAGGAATGGCCTTTAAAAACTGAGTGTCACCGCGTGGTGGGGGAGGAGCCCGAATGGAACGGTCTGGCCGGGCCTTTATGGCTCGCCCCACCGCCCACCCAATCATCAGTCCCCGTCTCCGGACCTGGAGCGGAAGCCTGGCTGAGGCGCCTGGAAAAGGTCTGTCCGAGAGAACGAGCTGTCCACGCTTCAAGCTACAGTGTGTGGGCCACGGCCCGAGCCCTGGTCCGGCGCCCAGGAGGCCACACACACTGCGTGCGAAACTCGCCGATTCCGGGTGCCCGGACAGAAGCAGCAGCACCCGCGCGACGGCCATGACGTGGCCCCAGGCGGAGCCCTCTGGTGGCCCATTGACTCCTCCCCTAGGAGCGCGCTCCTGGGTCAGAACTTCAGGCGGGAAATTCAAACGTCACCCTTGGGGAGGATCCACGGGTGTAATGTTACTAGACGGCAAAGAGGAACGCCTCCAACTCCGGCTCCTGTTTGCTCTTCATCTTTTCTGTTTAGGACAATGATCCCTGAATATCTTCCACTAACCCAGGGTTGAACTACCATCATCCCTTCAAGCACTTGCACATGTTGTAAATTGTAGCAGGGATCATCTCAAATTAGTTACACCTGTCTTGAAGTTAGACACTCGGGAAACATTATGGCTGGACACTGCGGTTCCTTTCTGTACCTCCATTGTTCTCTCAAATCCTTTTCTTCCAGATTTCCAGCCTTCATTACCCTACTTCAAGTCTACTTCGTAGTCTGCCTGAAATATCACCGTGAGTCTCCAATTAGTCCTGCCCTCAATCCTGGTCGCTTAGTGGGTTATGGCTGGCTGTGTGCCGTGGAGTCGGTTCCGACTCATAACGATCCTTTACAGGGTTTCCGAGGCTGTAAGTTTTTACGGGAGCAGAACACCTCATCTTTCTCCCCCGGAACAGCTGGTAGCTTAGAACTGCTGACCTTGTTCGAACTGCTGACCTTGCGGTTCGCAGCCCGGTTCGTAACCACTACACTACAGAGCTCCTTGTAGTGAGTTATGCATTGGGCTATTAATCACAAGGTTGGAAGTTCGAATTCACCATCTGCTCCGCAGGAGAAAGATGAGGTTTTCCCTAAGGATTTACAGCCTCAGAAACCCTATGCTGTTGTTAACTAGTTGTTGTTATGTGTCGTGGAGTCCATTCCGACTCATAGCGACCCTGTATTGGGTTTCCGAGGCTATAAATCTTTATGGGAGCAGAAAGCCTCTTTCTCTCTTGGAACAGCTGGTAGTTTCTAACTGCTGACCTTGAGATTAGCAGCCCGATTCATAACCACTACGCTACCAGAGTACCTTTGTTAACTTATAGCGACCCTGTATGTTTCCAAAGGAGACTTGGTAGTGTAGTGGATGACGAGTTTGAATCTACCAGTCGCTCCACGGGAGAAAGATGAGGCTTTCTGCTCCCGTGAAACCTAATACAGACTCTTTATGTGTCAGAGCCCACTTCACAGTACACAACTACTGAGAAGTGGCTGGTGGGTTTGAACCGCCAACCTTGTGGTTAGCAGTTCAGGGCTTATCCTATAGGGTCACTATGAGTCAGAACCGAATTGAAGACACATAACCATCACCACCAATCAACAACCTATTCAATATGGTGCTTGCTGCCAAGACTGTATTTTCTAAAATACAAATCTAAAGTGGACCCATCAATCCTTGTCCCTGTTAGCCTCTCAATTTAAATTCTGCCAGGGCTCAGGCCCTGTTTCCTGGTCATATCCTACTGTCAGCTCCCCAAGGAGCCGTCTCTGTGATAGTCTGTGTTACAACAGCACAACACAAAAACCAAGCAACGCATCTGTACAGAAGTGGTGGTGGTTGGTGGTGGTGGTAGAAGTAGCTATGTAATTTTAAGCTGTTTTAGATAGGTTAACTTATTATAAAATTATTAAAGGAGTCCTGGTGTGGCACTGTAGGATAAGCACTGGACTACTAACCTCAAGATCGGCGGTTCAAAACCAACTGCTCCTTGGAAATGCTGTACAGGGTCATTGTGAGTTGGAACTGACTTGAGGGTACTTAACAACAGCAACAACAAAGATCTCTCCTGGATTTAGTTTCAGAAGGTGACCACTGATTTTCTTAAGATTTCCTGGTGATCACAAGCCAGCGTCTGCTTATGTAAACAGAATCTTTGAAGTTGGCATTTCCCGCTTACCATTGAACAACATTTCCCGCTTACCATTGAACAACAAGTATGTTGTTAAGTGTTGTTGAGTTGGTTTCGACCTATAGCAAACCTGTATAGGGTTTCCTAGGAGCAGCTGGTGAGCTTGAACTGCTGACCTTGTGGTTCAAGCCAACTTTGCAGTCTAGCACATTAACCCACAGTGCCACACCAGGACTCCATTTCAAGTATTGTTGTGAAGTACCATCAAGTTTATTCCGACCCATAGCGACACTGTATAGGGTTTCCGAGGAGCAGCTGGTGAGCTTGAACCGCCGACCTTGCAGTTCAAACGGCTTTGCAGTGTGGCGCATTAACCCACAATGCCACTTTCAAGTATAGTACCTAGCAATTAATTAGCATTCAAATGTTTAATTAGAGGAAATAAAAACATGAGTAAGAAGAAATTAAAGCAATTATAAAACAACATCTAATTGCTTTAAATGAACTGATGACTCCTACTGGGACAAATTACATTTTATAGTACTGAGAGAATTTAGAATTCCCACTTTTTTATTCATAGTTCATTCTCTCCCTCCCCCCCCCCCCCTTAGTTTTATTTACTTTGTTATAGTTGAGACTATAAGGAGCTCTGGTAATGCTGTAGAATAAGCACTGAACTGCTAACCCCCAAGGTGGGCAATTCAAACCTATCAGGTGCTCCTCAAGAGAGAGAGAAGGCTTGCTACTCTCATAAAGAGTTACAACCTCAGAAACCTTATATAGGTTTGAGTCAGAAGTAACTCAATAGTATGGAATTTGGGTTTTGGTTTGGTTAGTTGAGAATATACACAGCAGCAAAACAAATACCAACTTAATTCTTTCTAATGTGTACAATTTCGTGACATTGATTATATTCTTCAAACTGTGCAACCATTCTCATCCTCTTTTTCTGAGTTGTTCATCCCTCATTAACAAAATCCCCTAGTTTCCTGTGTGATCTTTTGAGTTGCTGTTGTCAATTTGATAAGGAGCACTGGTAGCGTAGTGGTTATGAATTGGGCTGTGAACCAAAGGACTGCAGTTCGAAACTACCAGCTGCTCTGCGGGAGAAAGATGAGGCTTTCTGGCTCCTGTAAAAATTTACAGCCTCGGAAACCCTGTTCAGGGTCACTATGGGTCGGAAACGACTTGATGGAACTTAACATAAAAAGAGCATAATGCTCAAGGCAGGCATTCTTTACTAGCTAACTATTGTTTGGTTTTCAGAAGAGTTCAGGGGATATTTGTTGTTTAAAGCTTAAAGATTATCTCAGAGTGAAAAACAAGTAAATAGATAACCACACAGGGCAATGATTTCAAGGGTTCATCCAAACCTCCATGGCTCCAGAAAGTCTGTAGTCTAGAGGATTTGAAATTCTGTTCTGCGCTTTCCCCCTTTTGATCAAGATTCTTCTATGGAATCTTTGATCAAAATGTTCAGTAATGATAACTGGGCACCTTCCAGTTCTTCTGGTCCTATGGCAAAGGAGGCAGTTGTTCATGGATGTAATTAGCCACACATTCCATGTCCTCCTCCTATTTCTGACTTTCCTTCATTTTGTGATTCTCCAGGTGAATAGAGAAGGAGCTCTGGTAGCGTAGTGGTTACAAATCAGACTGCAAACTGCAAGGTAAGCAGTTTGAAACCACCAGCTGTTCCATGGGAGAAAGATGAGGCATTCTGCTGCCGTAAAGATTTACAGCCTCGGAAACCCGGTACAGGGTCGCTATGAGTTGGAACCAACTCCATGGCACACAGCCACCACCACCAGGTGAACAGAGACCAATTGGATGCCACTTGCAGGCTTTTAAGACCCCAGGCACTACACAATTAATTAGGAGGTAAAAAGCGAAAAGAAGCACTTGAACACAGTATTTGGCCAATTAACTGGGATGTCCCATGAAACCATGACCCAATCCCTCTAGACCAAGGAATCAAATCCCATGAGGTGTGGGGTATTACATAAGCAGCCTCAGCAGCTATTTTTGTCGTTATTGTAAATATAGCTAGCATATGATTTTTGCAAATTCAGCTTTTTACAGGTGTGCAATTTAATTGATAACAATTACAATAATTGGCTGTGCAATTCCACCCTTAATCAATGTGATTTTCCCATTACTTCTAATTCCCCTTCTTCCTTCCCTAGTAACCCCTAATAATTTTTAGTCTGTATACATTTGCCTCTTTATGTCTTTTTTTTTTTTTTTTTTTGAGTCTATGAAGGATTTTATTTACATGGAACTCAGTTATAGATAAGGTGCTTCCTAGGATGTACATGCTTCCTTGGAGCTACTTGACTTTGGGTTTTTTTGTCTCTAGCCTCAAGCTTAAGACTCTCTGGAGGCTGGCAATAGGCAGAAAAGGCCTCCCAGAGGCTGTTCAGGTCAAAGTTTTGGAACTCCTGGGCCAACTCCACCGGTTCAGCACCACCTGCTTCACCTCATCGTTATAGCATAGCTCAACATATCCAGACAAGGGCAAGTCTTTCCGGAAAGGATGCCCCTCAAAATCACAGTATGTCAGGATTCTTCTTAGGTCAGGGTGGTTAGCAAAGAAGACTCCAAACATATCTCAGATCTCCCTCTCATACCAGCTGGCTGATTAGTGCACAGAGACAGTGGACTCCATGGGCGTCAGCTCATCCATATAGGTCTTCACACGGATCCGTGAGTTGAAGTACAGAGACAGTACGTTGTAAACAATCTCAAAATGGTTTTGCCGCGTTGGGATGTCCACTGCTGTTAAATCAGCCAAGGATCTGAATTGGGCGTTGGTTTGATCCCTGAGGAATGTCAGCACTGGGATGACTCCATCAGGATGGATATAGATCTCTAATT